AGCAGCATTCCCTACCATAGGTACCTGCAGGCCAGCGGGAGGTTGGGGGAGAAGTTAAAAGCGCTCATTTTCAGTTTATTTGTAGCCAAGAAATAAGAGGAAAGCTAGAAATAAAGAGGAAAAGCAAGCTGAATTTGGCAGGAGCACCCTTGTCTGTTTGACGTGTCATGTGAGGAGTTGAGGAGAAATTGCTAATTCCGATCAAACCCAGGTGAGCAAATATGAATTTTCTACCCCATCAAAGGCCTCTTTCTCATTATGTAGTTAACAACAAAAGATATACTTCGTGTTTTGGTTGTGAGATGTTTGGAGAGAGCGATTCTTATTGTAAAGTCATGCAGTGTGAAAGCCTCTGTCATCGATCCATCTTGCAGTGTAAACAAAGCAGCGACAAAATGCTAGCCCAGATAGTATTGCAGTGTGAAAACATCTGTGACACGACTACTTTGAAAATCATGCAGTCTAAACTCAGCATATGAGGACTTTTTATATTTGAGTCTTACAAGGTTAAATTTTCCAAGAGTTAATTTAAAAAGCTTTATATATATATATATATATATATATATATATATATATATATATATATATATATATATATATATATATATATATATATATATATATATATTAGGGATGGAAAGATTAACCGATATGTATTGATACGCGGTTATGCGCGTGCACGATGCGAGTGCATCAGTTGAGCAGCAGAGGATGAATGAAATTTTGGAAGCAAATCGAGATGCATCGTTTTTTGCGAGATGCATCGTTTTTTCCAAGATACAGCTTATATTTTTAATATAGAATGTATTTTTTATTTATTAACAAGTGTTGTCAACCGGTTTTTGGTGCATAATTTAATCGACTTACATAAAGTAAGCCTTAGCAACAGATTTGCGGATGTGTACACTTACACTACAACTCAGTGTATCAGGTGTGTGGAAGAAGCTAGTGGTGCGCCCTCAGAAAGTGCGAGAAGCAAAACAATCATTTTATTCCCCACTGATGCAATTTGCAAAATATGCCGCGCATCTGTAAAATACGCGGGCAGTACGACTAATCTGAAATCTCACTTGAAGCGGCGCCACGGTGTTGTTGTGAAAGCATCTTCCAGTGTTCCTGCATCCCCGGCTATCGCACTGCTTCAACTGTAGCTACCAGCTCCAAAAGTGGTGAGAAAAGCATTGCAAGTTTTTTTTTTCCATGCGCAACAGTTTTGTGCGCTCTACGCCAATAACGGATGTTATTGCATTGTTCATCTGCGAAGATATTCAGCCTAGTGTCACGGAGAACGAAGGTTTTAAACACCTCCTCCTGTTAATTTTTATTTAATTATAATAATAATAATAATAATATTAATAATAATAATGATAAAAATAATGGGTGTCACGGTGGCACAGTGGGTAGTTTGACCACCTCACAGCAAGAAGATTGCTGGTTTGTTATATTTTTATTAGCCTGTTGTTTACAGTGACAGTGATGTTTCAAAGCAACATAACACTGCTAGTTCACGACCTTAAGTTTTGAATATTCAGTGGCACAATATATCTTTGTAAAACTTGTTTTCATAGTTGAAAAGTTAAATCACAATTCTTGTTGTGCAATGGTAAACCTTTATGTTGAAAGAGTGCAAATATATATATTTTTAATATATATTGCACTTATACATTCTGTTTATCTTGAAAATACTTAAATAATATGTGCTATATGTTCTAAAATGGCCCTCTACTGTAAACTGACACTCTGGCTCTGAGAGAAAAGCCAGTTTGTAAAAAAAAAGTCTTGGTTTTGCTTGGTTAATAAATAATCAAACTCATTCAGGCACAGCATCCTCTTTCACATCATCTCATAAACTTGATCTAATTAGTTAGTGCTGAATTATCGCATTGTATCGTGATATGGGTGTAAATCGTATCGTGTTGCATCCCAATATGTCACAAATGTATCGCTAATATATCGGATCATATTCTTTGTATCGAGATGCGTATCGGATCGGCATTATAGCTTAGATGCCCAACCCTAATATATATATATATATATATATATATATATATATATATATATATATATATATATATATATATATATATATATATATAAATAGATTCATGTACAATAAGATGCTTGTTTGCTTCTCCATTGTGGAAGCCTGACTGTTTGCTGTATTAGTCCTGTCTTGAAACCACATATCAAATTTAAAGTTGACAAGATGCTGCCCGTAGCTTGCCTTTTAAATCATAGCTTTTGAGTGGATTGAGCATGGCCATGCATACTGGCTGAAGATTCTCATGCACTCCTGTAGAGTCCAGGGAAGCCATTCATTATCCTCTGGCATATATTTATTAACTGGCAGGGACAACAAGATTATAGCTTGTTCAGCGGTATGACATGTTTTCCAATAGAACATAAATGCCTGATAGGATATTGTGTGCAATAATTTTTTATTGTATACAGGCATTTTAGATTAGTTTAATAGTAATACTAATAGATTTAATAGTAGTAAATGGGAAAGACACGTTGGAAAAGTTTTATTTTATTATATTTTTATCATATTATTTAAAACTGATTATTTTGTTTATATGTATCTATGCATACATACAGAATAATTGGGGAAGCATTTACTTTTAGGTAAAAAAAAGTCAGGTTGAACTAGTTATATATTTTTAAACATTGTTTATTTTAATTTAGTAATAAATATGGGAACATTTGATTGGATAGATTGTATTTAGTTTTTTCCATTTTATAATATTTGCTTACATTGTAATACTCCAAATTCAATGTAAATCAAGGAGTATGTACAGTATATGCAGCCCATTTTGCAAGTGTCATGAATGAAAACACAAATAGATTATTAATCATAATCAATTTTTTATTAATTGAAAGCTGAAATATCATGTTTGTGAAACCCCAAGATAGAAATGCTTTATTTAAACTGAGCAGTGCTCTTCTAAGCACTGGACTCGACACTCCTCCATCACCTGAGCATTCGAGGCCGATTTACAGCTCATTCTGGGCTCTCAAGAGCGGGAAATAAGCAGACGAATAAGCCACTTAAGCTCTCCTTCTACCCCGGAGAACGTAAGCTCAAGCTGATAGCAGCTACGGGCTTTCCTACTGAGTGGCTTTTTCAATGAGAAGTGTGTGTATGTGTGTGTGTCGTAGGAGAGGCCCGTGTCTTAACAGGCCTGAGCCTTGGAGGCGACGAGGGCCATAAATCCCAGCCTTTCCAAACCTCACACAGCTCCAGCAGCGTTCCTGAACATCTCCATTGAGCTTTTCTGACTCTCTGCGCTACGCTCTAATGCTTAATGGCTGTTAGGCAAACCCTAGACCTTTATTTCGGTAATGAACTGGGTGAGCTTTCTTTTGTAGAAAAATCAGGTTGGACAAGTACGATACAACAGAGCCAGTAATATATGGTTTGACACGCTTTTCACCGCAATTACGAACATTCATTTACCTTCGGCTTAGTTCTTTATTTATCAGGGGTCGCCACAACGGAAAAAAGCGCCAACTATTCTGGCATATGTTTACGCAGAGGATGCCCTTCCAGCCACAACCCAGCACTGGGAAACAATCACACACATTCACATTCACACACTCATACACTACGGCCAATTAAGGTCATCCAATTCACCCATAGAGTATGGGGGGGTGGGGGGGGGGGGGGAGTAAAGAGGGTTGTGGAGTCACAGAAGAAAGTGACAGCGGCCGTTGAGGAAGAGGATCGGTTAAAGAGAGGTGCCGGATCAGAATTCAGAAGTGCAGGATCTGAATCCCGTTAAACCCACAAAATACATCTGCTTCAAGATTTTAGAAACTGACTTTTTCTTTTAGCCTCATAATTTGATGTTGCCATCTCTGTACTTTGTTGTACGGGTTGTCACCAGGTTACGGGAAAAAATAACATGCTCATCACATCCAATCAGAGCAGAGATAGCATTTAAAGGCTTAAAAGCACAAACTGTTTTTCAGTTCCAAGACTGTATTTCAATTGTAGACAATTCCATAATTCATTTATTCATTTTCTTTTCGGCTTAGTCCCTTTATTAATTTGGGTTTGTCACAACAGAATGAACCGCCAATTTATCCAGCATATGTTTTCCACAGCGGATGCCCTTCTAGCAGCAACCTATCACTGTAAATCATCCATACACACTCATTCACACTTATACACTACAGACAATTTAGCTTACCCAATTCACCTATCCCGCATGTCTTTGGACTTGTGGGGGAAACCGGAGCACCCAGAGGAAACTTGCGCGAACACGGGTCGGGAAGAACATGCAAACTCCACACAGAAATGCCAACTGACCTAGCCGAGGCGAACCAGCGACCTTCTTGCTGTGAGGTGATTGTGCTACCAACTGCGCCACCGTGTCTCCCACAATTCCATAATATTACAGTGTTTTAGGGCTTGTTCTTTGCCTTCTGTTCTGATAAGTTGCCTTTTGACATTTGATAGATGAACTATGATAGGAATAATAACACCTTATCATATAATTTTAAAGCACTTCAGCAATTATTCACAGTCTAACAAAGATTACTATCATAGTTTACACAAATCATCATGAAAAAAGGTGCATAATTTACAAATACAGAGACCCAAAACATCAGTTGCGTTCACCGTACTTGGCTTTCATAAAGCATAAACTGTATCTGGATTTATTTGTTTTCAGCACACCACAAAATTTGTCTGCCCTCTTGTTGAGGAGAACATAACACAAGAAGAGATTTCAGACTAGATTACATCACATTGAAGAAGCATGACCAATGAGGGAGACAGAGACCCAGTCTGGCCTGGAAATTCCGCTCGCCACCTTGTTTATGTGGTTCAGCGCCATGCAATTTACATCTGTTTAATCACACTGCAGGATCTGTGCTCTAATGCCTCTGTCACTATATATAAAGAGTGTTTTGGTTGGTGCAATGTTTGTTTAGGCTTATTCATTAAATGCTGTGTGTAATATGCCTCTGTTCTGTTTTGTTTTGTTTCTCTCCAGCTCCTTCCACTGTATCTATCATGCATCAGGTCAGCCGTACCATTGACAGCATCACACTCTCATGGTCCCAGCCAGACCAGCCCAACGGTGTCATACTCGACTATGAGCTGCAGTATTATGAGAAGGTATCAAATGAACATGAATGTGATATTTAGTGTATTTAAGCATATTTTGCATATCCTTTCAATCTCATAATTAGTCATTTCTCTGGCAAATTCTCACTTACTTTAACTAACAAGTTTGGATTGTTTTTTTTTTTTGACCGGATATGACAAAGGCGATAATAAGACGATATACAAGTGACATCATTGTGGAATATATATATATATATATATATATATATATATATATATATATATATATATATATATATATATATACATATGTATATATATAAATTCTCAGCCTTTATTTACATTTGAAGAAAATCTTTAAGTCAGAATTTGCCTGGTATGAATAATTTCGGGCTTGACTGTATATAACAAACAATCATATTGGATCCTGTTATTAATATAAATTAAAATTATTGAAATGAAAAGGCAACAGTAACTCAAATAACCACTTGTTACGACAGAGGTAGGCAGATAAGCATCCCTGAACGCACAACACATCCAACCTTGAGGCGGATGGGCTACAGCAGCAGAATACCACACAGGGTGTCACTCCTGTCAGCTAAGAACAGGAAACTGAGGCTACAAATGCACAGGCTCACAATAATTGGTCAATTGAAGATTGGAAAAGCATTGCCTGGTGTGATGAGTCTCGATTTCTGCTGCAACACTTGGATGGTAGGGTCAGAATTTAGCGTCAACAACATGAAAGCATGGATCCATCTTGACTTGTATCAACGTTCAGACTGGTGGTAGTGGTGGTGTAATAATGTGTGGGGGATATCTTCTTGGCTCACCCTGGGCCTATTAGAACCAATTGAGCATCGTGTCAACGCCACAGCCTTCCTGAGTATTGTTGCTGACCAAGTCCATCCCTTTATGACCACAGTTCACCCGTCTTCTGATGGCTACTTGCAGCAGGATATTGCACCTTGTCATAAAGCACGAATCGTCTCAGACTAGCTTTTTGAACATGACAATGAGTTCACTGTACTCAACTGGCCTCCAAAGTCATCAGATCTCAATCCAGTAGAGCACCTTTGGTATGTTGTATGAACAGGAGATTCGTATCATGGATGTGCAGCCGACAAATCTGCAGCAACTGCATAATGCTATCATGTCAATATGGACCAAAATCTCTGAGGAATATTTTCAGTACCTATGTACCTAATCTATGCCACAAAGGATTAAAGCAGTTCTGAAGGCAAAATCGAGTCCAAGCCGGTGCTAGTAAGGTGTACCTAATAAAGTGGCCGGTGATGTATATTAAAAAATGCTAAAAGTTATTTGGGAAAATGTGGTCTCTGTTTTACCTTTGCTGTTTATTTGAAGGTTTGAACTGCTGCTGGGCATGAATATCAAGCTCCTGCTCTTTGTAGCATTATTACAAACACAGTCACTCTTTAAAAGACTGTTGTGGTTCGATCCGGATACCAGTGGCCTTAAATAACAGCGATTTTACTGCAGTAAAACAAACATTTCAGTAACAGATTCCTCTCTGTCAGCACGAGCCGCAGAAAACACACACATATTCTTTCAGTCTCCTGTTTCACTTGCTCTTTTACAGTGGTTGACACACATACAGTATAAGACAACCACACCCTTAAACACAACATGCACAGTTTGAAAGACACTTTCTGTCTTCTCTTTTTGTTAGCAATACACACAAACACACATACACAAGCTGGCGGTCCCCAGGGCTCTGCTCCTGTTCTTACTCTTTCCTCAGTATAATTCCTTTCTCAGACAGTGCTGAGGACCGCCTGTCAAAACACTCTCCTCAGACTGCAGCAAAGCTCACATCACAGAGCTCAGAAATAGAGCTGACAGGAAAAAAAGCAGAACACTCAAGTGCTACATGTATACACACACACACAAACAGAGAGAGTCCTACATTCACTGCTGGTTCTTCACTATCACTCTTTCCCTTCTTCACAAACAGACTGAAACGGCGCGACAATGGCCACAGCTTTCAGCCCAGACTAATGAATCGTGGCTGGCCTGAAAGTGTCAGCCAGCGTTCCTCTGCCCGGCACCCTCCGTCGAGCTCTCCTGATGGGGTTTGATGAGATAGATAGCCCTGTTAGAGAGCCATATGTACACTTCCGAGCCTCCGCTGTGAAATGCTGTGACCAAATCACTACTGGATTTGTAAAATTGATGTGCTTACCCTTTGCTGGTCATTCCTCTTTTTCAGGACCAGACCGAGCATAATTCGTCCATGGTTAAGAGTCAAACCAACACGGCAGTCATCCGCGGCCTCAAACCCGGAGGTATCTACGTCTTCCAGGTCCGAGCCCGAACAGTGGCTGGGTTTGGGCGGTACAGCGGAAAAATGTACTTCCAGACTATGACTGAAGGTGAGTGCGATAACAGAACTATAGCAGATTTTAGCCAAAAAAACATACTGTACATCACTGTTTTAAACGTAAAATTTATGGGAATGAATTATGAGAGTGTGATTTAGTCCACTGCATTTTCATCTTAAGGGCAAAGCTGTGTGTAATTGACTTGCTGATGCAGATAGTTCATCTAATTGTCTGATGATTCACGTTAGCGAGAAGTATCTCTAAACACTCTGCTCCCTCCGCTTCATTTTTCTGATTAGATCTAAGGGACATATTAAGATTCTGAAGGTAAACTGTTTGCTGAAGAGTGTTGTAATATTCATTTTTTATACATATATACTACTTCTCTAGGGTACTGTGTGGAATCACTAAAAAATTTCTTTTTTGTTCGGAATTGACTACTTTTATTCAGCAAAAATGCATTAAATTTATCAAAAGTTACAGACATTTAGGATGTTACTTAATATTTACTTTCAAATAATAATCAAATCCTTAAAAAGGTCATTAAAAAAATTAACTAAGTAAGTAATGGCCATACACCCAAAGCGCTTCACAGTCATGAGGGAGGGCCTCTCAATACCACCAACAGTGTGCAGCATCCACTTGGATGATGCGACTGCAGGCACAGGACAAAAGCGCCAGTGCGCTTACCACACACCAGCTGGAGAGTGGAGAGACAGTAATAGAGCCAATTTGGTGGATGGTGATAATTGGAAGGCCATGATGGAGGGAATTTGGCCTGGACACCGGGGTTACACCTCTTTACGAGAAGTGCCATGGGATTTTTAATGGCCTTGGTTTAACGTCTCATCCGAAAAACAGTACTCACTCACAGTATAGTGTCCCCTTCACTTTACTGGAACATAAGGATTCAAACAGACCGCAGGTTAAGTGCCCCCTGCTGGCCTCACTTACATCACATCCAACATCAACCTAGTTTTCCCATGTGGTTTCCCATCAGGCTCAACCCTGCTTAGCTTCAGTGAGTAACCAGTCTTGGGCTGCAGGGTGATATAGCTGTGGCACAGTGTTTTCTGTTAAGAAATGTTTACTCAATCAAATTAGTAAATTGTAATACTAATGATTCTGAAGGCGGCGCAGTGGTTAGAACAATCGCCTCACAGCAAGAAGGTCGTTGGTTCAAACCTCAGCTGGGTCAGTTAGCATTCCTGTGTTTGCATGTTCTCCCCGTGTTCGTGTGGGTTTTCTCTGGGTGCTCCAGTTTCCCTCATAGTCCAAAGACATGTGGTATAGCTGAATTGGGTAAGCTAAATTGTCTGTAGTGTATGTGTGTAAATAAGTGTGTATGGATGTTTCCCAGTATTAGGTTGCAGCTGGAAGGACATCTGCTGCGGGGCACATATGCTGGATAAGTTGGTGGTTAATTCCGCTGTGGTGACCCTAAATTAATAAAGGAAATAAGCCGAAAAGAAAATAAATGAACCATAATGATTCTGAATTTATCTTAAACTGATGACTGAAGAAATGACTCTTCGGATATATTATTGTTATAATTCTATAAAAGTTTTACTGCAGTATGAACATGCAACCTTTTAAAATATATTAACAAATTATATATTATTATATATATTATATATACATATATTAATGAATTTAAACAGAATTATTCATTCAGTAAACAATATCCTGAGCCGAAATATGTACAGTAAGGTAAATTTAGATTCTCACACAATACATATTTCATTAATGAGTATAACTAAATTATTTTAAATAAATTAAAATGTAAAGCTTAAATAAAAGAAATCCAAAAAAGTGTGAATAGTGTTTTCAAGATTTTACAAATAGATTACTGGTCAAATGTACATCTAAAAAAACACAAATTAAAGAAGGTGTTTCTTAATGTTTCATGATTTTACTGCTTATTGTATTTTTATCAGCTCATTTAACAGTTATTTTAAAACTATATATGTTTTAATATTGCTTTCTATGTGTAGTTAGAGCATATTTTGGATTCTGTCGCACTTCCAAAGCACTGCAGAAAAAGAATAGTAGCTGAAACGTATCATTGGATGGCAGCCCTTCCCAGATCTCCTCATTCAGAGGCAGCCACTTCACTCATGCCTTCTCACTTTCTAAGCTGCTTATTACGAGCAGGGAGTCAGAATAAGTCTGATCTATCCTCTCTCTGCTGGCATGATGAGAGACAGCAACTCAGCCAGGTGATCCAAACATGCCAGCAGGATGCGCTCACTTTGACTGCTTTAACCAAGAGGTTTAAAACCGATTAAACAGGAAGTTATGGTGCGGCTGAATCCACACGGGATCAGACGAACTTCAGCTTTTTGTTTGCTCACTACATCAGCTTTTGGAGGCTCAGAGCAAGTGTTTAAAGTGGTTGCACACTAACAGCGTACGCAGCCTCTAGAGTTGCAGATTGAGCCCAGGGGTTTGTCTGCATTGTGAACGAATAGTCTGTAATTATAAACAACTAGAGGAGAACGGGAAAGGTAGGCAGGAGTGGAAGGGAAAAGAAAGTTCCCCAGGCTTTCCCAGCATCCCAATCCGTCTGTCTTGCACCAACACACACCATGTTTCCTCTATCGCATGCCCATATGCTGCTGGAGCCGAGGAGTCTAACCGTACGGCCCCATCTGCCTGAAGGTATCTCACTTACGGCTTCCTGTCCCGGATTCCCCACCGCGGAAGTGAGGAAGTGAGGGTCTCTCACCTGTGTAGACTTACACTGCAGGACTTCTCCGCCTCAGAGGAGTCTCAACTTGCTTCAGGCTGCATCAGATGTAGAGACACTCTGCTGGGGTTTGTCAGGAAGCACTAACTTTTCGATATGTGTTTGTTTGCGCCTACAGAGGAGTACAACACTAGCATTCAAGAGAAGCTGCCTCTCATCATTGGCTCGGCGGCTGCTGGTCTGGTCTTCCTCATTGCGGTGGTGGTCATCATCATCGTGTGCAACCGGTGGGTTCCTCTCACTTTGCTTTAAACGTGTAAACCATTAGCATAGCTTCCTCCCAATTATACCAGCGACATGTTCAAATCTTGCCTTTTTGTCCTCATTTGCTTCATTAGAGGACATTTACAGAGCAGCAGAGCTCATAAAACATGCTTAATGATGAGGTTGTGTTAACAAGATGATCGTGAGGAGTTGTAAGTGTTGCTTTCATGGCTTTAGCACTTTTTAAAATTGTAAAAGTAGAGCTTTTTGGGTTTGTTCCTGCAGACGGGGATTCGAGAGAGCGGATTCAGAGTACACAGACAAGCTGCAGCACTACACCAGCGGCCACAGTGAGTACTTAGACTTTGACAGTACTATACACAAACTATAGGGGCTTTCGTGATGAGTATTTATAGGAACCAGTGCCCTGAGAACTAAATTTTCCCCTTAAGCCATTTTCCTGTTTGCACTTTGAACTATACAATGGCTGACAGTAGCTTAGATCCTACTTTGATTTAGAAGCTAATTTATGTCACCAAAGAAAACAAAAAGCCTTAAAAGCATTTTATGTATACCATGGTTGGAAATGAATAGGGTCTAGTGACACAAATACCACCAAAATAAAGGATATTGCACACTAAATCCGAAATTTTTGTCCATGATTTTTCACGTTAAAAAATAAACTTGACCTCACATTGTATGAAACCACTTGACACTTTCGTCCATCATAAAAAATTCGAACTGGCTTAAATTTTATTACTGTTTTTTTTGCATATAAAAAAGCATTTTGAGAGGTGTTTTGACAGTTCAGGGTTAGAAGCAAAAGGCAAAATACAAAATGCTGTCACTTTAGCCACAGATCACTTCATGACAAACAAAGTGTGTAATATAGACTCTGTTTAGGGAAACTGAAATTGCAGCATGGTGCCGTAACACAAGTAATGTTCTATCTACACATTAACAAAATATTACCACACAACATACAATACATCATCTTTAGATGCATCTCCCTCTCCGTTGGACTCATTTAATGACCTAATGGCCACCATTATATAAAAGAATTTCTAATTTTATTTTCCTGCAAATAGGAACTCTAAAACAAAGTCCTATTGACAGCAGCTGAAACAAAGTTTACAATGGGTGATCCGGGGTACATAGGATACCCTGAACTCTCTTCAAAACTTAATTATGGTAATTTAGTATTAGTCTAGTTTGGTTAAAACCAATGATCTTACCTGCCACTTTCACAAGGCTACTCAAATTGTTCTTATTTGACAAACTTATATTACCATACCAAGCTACATATAAGACAGAATATGGCAGATAGTTGAGATCCCATATGCTGGATTCTGTGACTGGTGCACCTTTTCCCTGCTGCTGCTTGGTGTGATGTGTGTGTGTCCAAACATTTGACATACTCATGATCATTATAATACCCTTATGGTCCGCTTCATTCCGTTGCTCCAATAAGTCAATGAGGCCAGCATCTATTTTGTTTGTAACATTATAGGTACAGCCTGTGTTTCGTTTTTTTTACGTATATAATTGTGTGAATTATCACAAGCAATGTTTAAAAATTCCACTGATTTCCTGAAGTAAACTTTGCATTTGGGAATAATCCAGGACAGCTCTTTGATAATGAGCTAAACTCTCTTTCTAGTATTGGATAAACACAATATGTAGCCTATTGCTCTTTCTTTTTCTTTGGAAAAGAGAGAGGAAAACAAAGCCCCACTGCTTGAATTGACGCCAAAATGTTTTGCATTTTTTTTGTAATGGATTTGTGGACGTGACAAATATTTTGGATATGAATATGAAAAAAAAAACACATTAAAAAATGTCGGACTTCAGTGTGCAAAGACCTTAAGGGTCCAAGAAACCAATTGTCCCTGCAGAAAAAAAAACGTAAAAATGACATTTAGAGCTTTTGAATGCAGTAGCCAATTAGAGGCATTTAGGTTATTTTATTCATCATAATTATGTAGTGCTACATTGAAATGAATAATATAAATGACATGCTATTTTAATTGCTGGTTATTGTTAATTGTTAGTGTTCTGGTTGAGTAGTTATTTAAATTTAAGATAAATCTGGCTTAAAAGACAAAACAGATACTATTAATAAAGGTAAAAAGGAAAACAATTTCATGGGGCAAATATTGCCTCTTAATAGAAAAAGTTAGTTCATGGCACTGATAAATGTATTGACGTACTTTATACTGTATTTCAGGGTTTAAACACAGTAAAACTGCATAATATGTGATAATGCTCATATTTAAAACAATAGTTTTTTGTGTTATTCTGGTGATATCAAGGCTGAATGTCCAACATCCATACTACAGTGCACAGAATCACACAATCACTTATCATTCCACTTATTGCTGTCTTATTGTCATCAGTGTTGGACATAGCTTTCATAAACACTAAAAGCATACAGTATGTGTTTTATAACCCACAGACATTTGACATATTTTCACTTCACTACTTTTTATTTATTTATATCATGCTGTACACTGACAAACACTCACTAATGCACTCTTTCTCTCTTTACTGCTTGCCCACCTCAAACAATTCTGTTTATCTGCCTCTTTCTCTTTCACCATCAAACACACCTCTGTCTCGAAGCTGGACCTTGCTTTCTCAAGATTCATCTGCAAAATATTAATCCCACAGCTTCCCTCAAAATCCCATCAGAGAGAGCATTAGCCACTTCCCCTGGAAGCGATTTCGCTGTTCGTCTTTGTTCTTTCGCTCGGTTCTTTTTCAGCCTCTTGTTTATTTTCCCATCAAAGCAGTACACAAAGCTAATGCAAGAAAAAGCTCAACGCCAGGTGTTTCAAAGTTAGTAAGATCCATCAAAGATTAGTCATAAAATGAGCAATACTTCAGTAAATACCATCTTAGCCTCGGAGTGCTGTTCCATTTATAGAAATAAATCTTTAAGATTCTCTCGAGGCAATAATTTAAAGCTAAGCTCGCTCGCTTGCTCGCTCTCTCTCCCTCCGAGGGCTTAAAGTTTATCTCTCTCTTGCTCACTCTGCTGAATGAAAATGGTTTGGCACTTTTCCTCAAGTTTTATTTTTCCCTGCCCTTCCTTATCAGTTTAAACAGCTTTTATGCTGTGTAATCAGTGGTAAAGAACTGCTGTAAATGCTCTATTTATTGAAATAATTTCTAGAAGAGTGTGGGGCCAGGAAAGCCAAGGTCAGAAATCATCCATTAGTGCTCGAGAGAAGAAAGGGCTCTTAATCTCAGTCTTCATACTCGTGTTTGTCTAGTTCACTCCTTCTCTTTATTTGTCTTACAGCTTTTTTCTCTTTCTCTCTCTCTTTTTAATCTTACTGGCATAGTCTGCCAAAAAATACGTTCTCTCTCAATTTTTTTATTCTCATGTCTTTCCAAACCTGTATTTTGTGGGAAAAGGAGAGATTCTGTATGCATATCATGAAGGGGGAATGGGATCATTGATATTCATTGTGTGGAGAGAGCAGCATGAACATCCTGCTAAACATTCCCTTTTGTACTCCACTGAAGACCGAAAGCTATATGAGTTTAGAATGACGTGAGGGTGAATAAATGATGACAGATTTTCATTTTGGGGTGAGCTATCCCTCAAAACAGTGAGATCTTCTCAGAAGAACGTTCATCCACTACAGCCTCCTGAATTTGTTATAGTTTGACGTTCACAAATCCTTTGATGTCGATTGCCATTCACTTCTCTCACCCTATCTATCTTCTCCTCGTCTGTTGCAAGAGCACATTTATCAATTCCAAAACCGTCTGTGCAGCCAGATCACCAATAATAAAATCTCTCCAGCTGCATGAAAACACTGTCTACTAAAATGCCTTCGGATAGATTTGGAACCGAGAGGCAGAATAATCGGATTTAAGGCAAGTCCCCAAACACTTAAGTTCACCATAAGCCAATTTACCTGCAATCAAAAGTCATTTGATTGGCAGCAATGGAAATAGCTGATATGTGTCCTCCATCGGGGACTGACACCCCCAAACTCATACATATATTAAAACACCTTATCTTTCTTTTGGCGAACGCTGTTATCCTCCATTGACTGCAGTCAGGAGCTGTTCCAAATCTAATGCTCTGAATACAAAGAATAGCTGAATTCCCAGAGACCCTCATCGCTAATACATTCTCACACTTGCAGTACTGCAGTCTTTAAGCAGCATTAGTTGTTTTTTATTTGTTTTTAATATTAAAGTTGTTTTCTATATTTTCAAGTGTCACCAGGAATGAAGATCTACATCGATCCGTTCACCTATGAAGACCCCAACGAAGCTGTAAGGGAGTTTGCAAAGGAAATTGACATCTCATGTGTGAAAATCGAGCAAGTCATTGGAGCAGGTAATCAAACCTCCAAACGTCCAGCAGTGTAGTTTGTTTGTTTTGTGTGTGTGTGTGCTTTGACCTAAAGTACAAATCACATGTCTCTGTTCTTAGGGGAGTTTGGAGAGGTCTGCAGTGGTAACCTGAAGCTTCCAGGGAAGAGGGAGATGTTCGTGGCCATCAAAACGCTGAAGTCAGGTTACACAGAGAAGCAAAGGCGGGACTTCCTGAGTGAAGCAAGCATCATGGGGCAGTTCGATCACCCTAATGTCATCCATTTAGAAGGAGTGGTGACAAAGAGCAGCCCGGTCATGATCATCACAGAGTTTATGGAGAACGGCTCACTGGACTCTTTCCTCAGGGTGAGTAGTTTTTGTTTAGACTACAGTATACTCTAGGTTTATTTAATTATATTTATATATAATAATATATATTTTATTTTATTGTTTTCTTTTAATGATCAGTATCAATTGACATTCGATTTTGTAGGGACTCTTTTTCTGTTTTCTGTGGCCTAAAATGGCTGATTTTGATCTTGCTTTTTAAAACTTGCAACCACATTTGTGATTTTTTTTGTTTTTTTTTGCAGTTTTTTGTTTTGCAGTAAAACAAATTTTAAATACCACAGACACATCTTTATTACAGTTTTATTACCTTTATACCTCAACTGATATAAATAACACAACTTAATTCTAATGTTTTTTAAGGGTAACCAAATAACAGTGAAACTCATTCATTTAGAATGAAAATATATTTGGAAATATTTGGTTGCCTAATACTCTCTCTGACAAACACAAATGGTCCAATCATATTGTAGATAATATTATTGTTTTATTCATGTTTTAAATTCAGCTGGATTACTTTTATCATGACTTGTGTGGCTTGTGGCTGTCACCATAGCAAATTTTAAATCCCCTCAACAGATCAATTCAAGTACTTTACTATAGTATGGTTCAAAAACACTGTAGTATATACTATATATTTCTATGGTGTTGTTTCATGTGATATATCCCACCTTAATGCATTGTTCTAGCAGCATTCTATTTGCAGCATTTTTTTTGCTTGATTTTGCAAACCTAGAGGAACTGATTAGGTATTTAAAATGTTCATCTGCAATTATATATATATATGTCAAATTCTGACCCTACCATCCGAATGTTGCAGCAGAAATCAAGACTCACCAGTCCAGGCAACATTTTTTCAGTCTTCTATTGTCCAATTTTAGTGGGCCTGTGTGAATTGTAGCTTCAGTTTCCTGTTCCTAGCTGACAGAAGTGGAACTCGGTGTGGCCTTCTGCTGCTGTAGCCCATTCGCCTCAAGGTTGGATGTGTTGTGCGTTCAGAGATGCTCTTCTGCATACTTTAGTTGTAACAAGTTGTTATTTGAGTTACTGTTGCTTTTCTATCAGCTGGAACCAGTCTGGCCATTCTCCTCTGGCATCAATAAGGCATTTGCACCAGCAAAACTGCCGCTCACTGGATATTTTCTCTTTTTGGACCATTCTCTGTAAACCCAAGAGTGGTTGTGCGTGAGAATCCCAATAGATCTGCAGTTTCTGAAATACTCAAACTAGCCAGTCAGACACCAACAACCATGTCACATTTAAAGTCACTGAAATCACATTTCTTCCCCATTCTGATGCTCTGCTTGAACTGCAGCAGATCGTCTTGACCATGTCTACATGCCTAAATGCATTAAGTTGCTGCCATGTGATTGGCTGAAATTTGCGTTAATGAGCAGTTGGACATGTGCACCTAATAAAGTGGCCAGAGAGTGTATGTACATATAGTATAGGCAAGTTTTTAACAAAAGTCTGATAAAACAAATTCTAATAATGCCTGAGAATGACATACAACATTGATATTTTTGTGTAAGCATCTAATGATAACTTGTGATAGCTTATGTGTTTTCAGTTGGATTCTAATATTGTGTATGCCTAGTACTTCAATGCAAAAAAAAAAAAAAATGGCAGGAAAATGTAAGTGAACAGGTCTAGACAATAACTCACAAACTCATGAATCTTTTTTTTTAAACAATTCCTTTTAAACAAAGCTCATGAATGAACTAATTCACTGTAATAATATAGATTTTCCTGTGTTAGCACAAGCTCCGTAACATAAGCATGTTTCAAATTCCAGTTGCATTGAAGTGATAATCTGACATCAGCAGGTGTGTATGCACATCAGCATGCTCAACATCATACAAACGTTCCCTCCTAATTTCTCATGCTGTCCATCAGGTAATTCTCCACAGGGTCTCTCCGTAATACCCAGCTGCCCCCCTGCAGCAAAACATCTACTCTCGGTATTGATTCCAGCTGTAGCACTGTTGTAATAAGCTCAATACTCTTCCATTCGTCTCCACGGGTTGCCACACTAACGTTTGCTTTAAGACGCTCTCTTTAAAGAAATCGTTGAATCGTTGCTCTGTGGTTAGTCATGCCCTCATTTCACATTGGTCACGCTCTCTCGGCCACGTTTTCTGCATTACAAGCATCAGATGAGCAGTGTGTGTCTTATAAACCGAGCCACCATATGTGCTTCTGACCTATATCTCAAAACACACCGGATGTGTTTTAATCTACATTGTAACTCCCTGCAGCTTCCTGCAACCGCATTCAGATGAATAACCAAATGCGAGAATCATCCAATCCCCCTGTTTTCCAACAGGCGTGGGGGATGAGAAAAAAACGCCACTGTCAGCCTTTGACTGGCACGCGTCAATTTGATTTCATTGCAGAGCTGATGCGGATAAAATAGGCGTTTGGATCCCTTGATCGCTGCTAATTGGCCTCGCTGTGTGTTGCGTCCAAAAAATGTCTTTGATTTATGTAAATATGTAATCATCGGGGAAGGAATGATTTATTTTGCTCATTAGCGAGGTCTTGCCTCTGATCTATCACAAGCGAAAACTTATTTTATCCTTGACACGTAGCTTTTTGGGGTGTTAGGCTCAGGAAGTGTAATTATCTGAAACAAAAAACCTCCATGATTACGGCATTTAAACGACGGCGAGTAAGCAGGAACCAAACGACCCAACATTTGTTAGACATTCGAACTGAATTTATTTCTTCTCACCACAATCAGATCCAGCGCTCACAAACCTCTATAAGTGTGAGGTTCTGATGTTATTTTAGCTGTTTGGTGAGGCTCGTGTTTATACTTGCTCGTTACAGAACGCACATGCCCAACCGTGCCATCGCGTGAGGAAATGACTGATGTTTGGTAATGTTAGTCGAAGTAAGAGTGACAAATTACAACACCTCATAGGTTAGGTTTACTTTGGGTTCAAATCCTGCGCTAAAAAAATGTAAAAAGACCGGCTAATGTTTTTTTTCTTCTTTTTAGCTCTCATAATGTCTGTTCGGTGGTAGACAAGAGCTTTGAAACCTCACAAATCTTTGTGCAGCTGCACAATTGTGTTGTTTTTGCAAAACTGTCATCCATTTCTGACAGAACGCTGAATTCTTTGAAAACAACACGCCTCTGTTGTGGCACCAGATGACAGCGGATGACAACATTGTGTGTTAGTGCAAAAGCGCTAGTATATGAGTCTGATGGAGCTCTTGTAAGACAAGACAGAGAAAGAGAGAGGCAGATTCAATGCTAACCTGTCGTTCTTGCACTGATCCTACTTCCAATATTGTTTCAAGCCGGATTAAGGAGCAAAAGGGAGAGAAATTCAAAAAGGTGTGCTAACGAAAAGTTTCAAACAGATTTGTGAAACGTCAAACAGAAAACTTAAGCGCAGCTTCACAGAACCGACACCAAAGACGTGTCTGAGAAGAAACGGCAGGGATAGAAAAATTCAGTGTAATCAGAAGAGAAAGAATGTTTGCCTCGCTCAGACTGCAGATCCAAATAACTTCGGGGGCGAAGAATCCCTCCAATTAAACTATAGGCAAACACTGTGAGCAGATTAGAGTGCCAGGCTGTATTTGCGAAGGATTTCAGCTTTATGAATAATGGATGGCGCTTAATTGCGGTGGAGGGTGAGGAGAAGTTCGAATCGAAGTCAGCTTAACATGGGGGAAGGGTTTGAGCGTGACACATGCTGCTCAGAGGAAGGGTTTGCATGAGACACAGAATAAAGACATCTCGTGGCTCTTTCGTCCACTGTCTAGGTATTTCCGTCTGTCTCCACTTGTCGCGTGCGTGTCTGTCCGCACTGCGCCTGCTGTGTTGTCTCCTCTGATCAGAAGCTGAACGCTGCTCGCCTCACGACTGTCTGCGGAGGGTCTGCAGATTAAAGCAGCTGCAGGCACAGCTGGGTCAGAAACTGCTGGACCTCCTCATGTGCAAAGAGCTTTCTGACCACCATAGTCAACAGCTGTAAGATTTGCCACGGCCTCCATTGATCATCAGATGTCTGATCTAGCATCACGTAGCATAAACTCTACCAATCCTCACCAGAGCGTTTGCACAGCCAAACCCAATCCCGGCTTGACTTGATGCATTGTGTTCAGACTCTGGTCTTATCCGACAGGGCAAACTAGATATTAACCGTGATTTCCACAGCTTTATTCTTGCATTATTGTTGTTGTTTTGGATTTATAGGTTGCCCAGAAGAGATAACTGTTGCAGTTTCATATAAGCTGAAGTATTTTGGATTGACAAAATATGTTTTTGTGCCCATTTCACTTTTAAAGAAGACTTTTAAAAGAAGCAGAGCTTTTATATGAAAACATAACACCCAGTAGTTATTTGTGTTATTATCTGTGTTATTACCTGATACCAACTAGAACATGCACCAAAACACTAGCAAACAATACGGCAATTACAGTATACAGCACCATCAAAAAAATCTCAACCAGACTAATGAAGTAAGAAACAAAATAGAATGACATGTAAAAGGAAAGGAGAAAAAAATTACAGAAAAAAACATTATTACAGAGACATTATTAAAATTGTATATATCTAAGGAAGGGCTCCCATATTTTATCATACATCTTTTGTTAGCCGAATCTAGAGAAACATAACCTTTCCAGCTTGAGGGCAGGACCCATTTCAGCTAACCATACAAAAACAAAAAAAACTAGAGGTGTCGTGGATTTCCACTCTGTCAGAATTAGGTCAAGTTAGAACCTGGTCTGAACATCTAAACATTGCTAATTCCAAATCAATTTTAATGTCTATTTCAAAAGCCTTGTAATAAAGTTTTCCAAAATTCATGTACTTCTCGACAGGACCAGAATATATTAGTTTTAAGCATCTTAATGTTAATTGTAACATTATCAATACAACTTTTGATCAAAATAAATTGTAAAAAAATATTACTTAATGTGTATTATTTGAAATATTATTTAACACAATTTGAGCTAATGGTAGAACAGCTGTATGTTTAACTAACATCAACAAATATGAATAAATTCAGTAAATTTTTTATTTACGCATTACCTAATGTTAACTAATATACCTTACTATTCAACAATATCAAAATAAATGATACACTTACAGCAAATTACATAGTTGGCTTTGCTTTAGTGTAATAATGTTTGTTTTTTCTCATTGAGAAATATAATTCTTAAATATTAAAATTCATGCTAAATGTATAATATTATCACTACTTAAAGGACTTCATGTCTTGACTAAGTTGTTTTAATTTTTTTTTTTTTACAGCAAAATGATGGCCAGTTCACTGTGATTCAGCTGGTGGGCATGTTACGAGGGATCGCCTCTGGAATGAAGTACCTTGCAGACATGAATTATGTGCACCGGGATCTGGCCGCACGCAACATCTTAGTTAACAGTAACCTCGTTTGCAAGGTGTCCGATTTCGGACTCTCTCGCTTCTTGGAGGATGACACGTCTGACCCTACATATACCAGTGCTCTGGTGAGAAGTCATTTTAGTTTATTTTGCGACTTATATACAAACTTGTGCTTTGATTTGAGATGATTTGATGTTTTGATTTGGGTTTATACAGGGGGGGAAGATCCCTATTCGATGGACCGCCCCGGAGGCCATTCAGTATAGGAAGTTCACCTCTGCCAGTGATGTATGGAGCTATGGGATAGTCATGTGGGAGGTGATGTCATATGGAGAGCGACCATATTGGGACATGACCAATCAGGATGTATGTACCTCAACACTTATGTTACCATTCAAATGTTTAGGTTCTTTAAGATTAATTTTATTAATTAATGTTATATTTTCCAATAACTGATTTCTGGTTTAATATTATGTTTTAATATCATTTAAAATATCATTTAATTCTGTGATGGCAAAGTTAATTATTCAGCAGCCATTACACTACGTCTTCAATGTAACATGATTATTTTTAAATCGTTGTAATGTGCTGTTTTGGTGACCTAATTATTAATGCTATAAACAGTTGTGCTGCTTAATATCCTTAATTAAAAATACTAATAAGATTATTTGATATATATTACTTATTTATACATAGATATTAAACATCTCAAATGTTTAAGCAATGTCTATGCTTATTTGTCAGTTTGTTTCATGTTTAAAACATACAAATACCTAGCTTTTTATACAATCATTTATATTTAAGCTACTTATTTGATTCTTCCAGTTTCCGCTCCAACCTCATAACCTTTTCAGTGCTCCACATCCTCAGTCTTTATTAGGTATAACCGCTCATTTCTTCTTTTTAAACCATTTTCCAATAGAGGCACTGTCAAACACTCCTGCCAGAGGCTGTTGGTCGGTTGCCATATGTTAGCGCGTGATAGATGAATGCTGTGCAGCTATGTTGAATCAGAGGGTAAGGTAAACAGCAGAGAGAGCACGTCGTAAATCTGCCCATGTGCTGCTCTGCTGTGTACGAGGCCAAACCTCAGACCCCAAACACTGCATGAGCACAATCAGTCTTTGCAGAAACAGCCGCACCGATCATCACATCACATTGGCCTCAGAATGCAGAAGAAGGGATTTGCGTCAAAAGATCACACTTTAAGCATTTAAATGAGAGGTTTGAACTGTATTTGTGGAGATTGTGTGCTTTTGGAGACAGTGTCTTCAAGCTATTGTCTGTGTTTTGTGTCAAAAGGGAGCATTAGCTCTCTTTATGCGAAGGCTTCCACAAAAATTCACCTGTACTTCACACTCCTCTCCTGGTGAACAAAAAGATGATTTGACATGCAAAGCACGGTGCCACATCGAAACAGTCCCTGCCCTTGAAGAGAGCTCCCATTTCTAGCATCCCTCTGGGTGGCTGGGAAAAGGCAAATTATGGGTCCAGATAATGAAAATAGTTTCAAATTGAAAGTGTGAACGCTAATGCGCTAAGAGGGAGCGCAGATCTCACCAGTTATCTTATTAGCAGCTCCAGATAGCGTCACGGTCCTCCCATCGGGCTGGCCGTTTGAGGCGCCTGAATGAGATTAATCAGGCCTTGAATGGAGCGCCGTAATGGCTACGATAATGAGCTAGGGAACGACGGGTCTCACTCGGGTCCTGCTCGCACTTTCCACTTCATGGCTGCCGTGCATCTCGTTTTTTTAGCCACCGAGGCTGCTGGAAGCGTCTTGTTTCATTCAAATGTGACGGAACATCCATCAGTGTGCACATTTAGTGACGCTACCCAGTTAATTAACTGGAGCTGTACTTAAGTTTTATTTAAGTGACGTTCTTGATTTCCTGTTACAACTCGCAGCGCATTTTCAACTGTAGAATTTAGTCAGCGTGTAGATTACAGGCCATGTGTTAATCATATTTAATCTGACAGATGTTGCATGATTGGAAATAAGCAGGGCGGGCAGGAGCCAGACTCAGCCTGAACGCTGCCAAATAAACTTTGTAACTCTAAGACCGCACTTTTTCCACGTTTGATCAGAGAGGAAATGCTTGTACTGCCAAATTGTTGTTATCAGCACCTTTATAATCGAGATCTATTAGCTGATTTAGGAGGCATTTAGATAGCAGCTGACTGCGACCGCTTATTTATAGTTTGTGTATGTGTGTGTGTGTGGTTGTGTAAGTGTGAAGGGTGAGTGGGATCATGTGTGTGTTTGCGGCCAATGACAAATGGCTTCCTTGTGTCCCCCTAAGACCCAGATAATGATCACAGTGCATTTATGAAGACTGCAGATCAATCCTCTGTCTCCTGCGGTGTTACACTCCCCTCCACCACCCAGACGCTGGCGCGCATTTACCGCCAACTGCCTTGCACCATGCCGACAGATCCTATCACAATAACATTTCATGGCAATATATTACAATAAATTGAATACAATATGCCTTCTGTACATTTACATTACAATTCCCAGGATTCAACTTCTACTGATAGTGATTAAACACTCACTTATAATGTTACACATCGCAAGCTGTTATGTGTAATAACCAACATAACATTCACCAGCATAGAGAAAGAAAAAAAAAACAGATTTTATATTGTAAAGCTGTAAAAGCTGACAGACTGGAACATTAAGCTTTGGTGCTTATGCAAGAAACCTGAGTTCAAATCTGGCTAATGTCATTTCCCGTAACACCCCTCCCTCTTTCCCTCCATCATTTATCACCTGTCATTGAAGTTTTAATAAACAGCACTTGAGATGCAACAAGCGTATCTTTCTCCGCCCTTTTTTAATAAACAGCTCGAGACCCTCACAGTTGTGTGTCTCCCTCTGCAGGTCATCAACGCCATTGAGCAAGACTACCGGCTGCCCCCTCCGATGGACTGCCCCAGTGCCCTCCACCAGCTCATGCTGGACTGCTGGCAGAAAGACCGCAACAACAGGCCTAAGTTCAGCCAGATTGTCAACAATCTGGACAAAATGATTCGTAACCCCAACAGCCTGAAGGCCATGACTCCGCTGTCATCAGGGTGAGTTAGAAAACATGAAGAGTGCAGTGGGCTAGGCCGGTATAAGGTTTTGACAGTATGATAACCTTGGATAAAAATGTCACGGTATCACAGTATTGTGATTACTTGCCTAAAATACTGTTAAAGTCAGAATTATTAGCCCCGTTTATTTTTCCCCAATTTCTGTTAAAAGAAAAAAAAATCAACACATTTCTAAACATAATAGTTTTAATAACTCATTTATAACAACTGATTTATGTTATCTTTGCCATGATGACAGTAAATAATATTTGACTAGATATTTTTCAAGACACTTCTATACAGTTTAAAGTGACATTTAAAGGCTTAACTAGGTTAATTAGGTTACCAAGACAGGTTAGGGTAATTAGGCAAGTTATTGTAAAACGATGGTTTGTTCCGTAGACTATCAAAAATATATATAGCTAATCATTTTGACCTTAAAATGTTTTTGTTTTTATTATTATTTAAAACTGCTTTTATTGTTGCCAAAAAAAAACTAATAACATTTTTTACAGAAGTGAAAAACAGTGAAATACAGTGAAAAAAGAAATAGAGAGTATATAGCTTAAGTATGGGGAATACTTTTTTGTTTTGTGTTGTAAAGAAATGGATGCATTCAATTTATCTGAAGTAACAAAAATGTATAATACAAGAAAATCAAATAAAAGGCAAACCAAATACCTAAAATCAAGTTTTAAATATTCAGAAAATATGAGAAATATTTCTTGAGCGGAATATCAGCATATTAGAATGATTTTTGAAGGTCGTTACATAGTAGCCTTGCTGTTAGCCCAGCGGCATGGCATTAAGATGCTAGCAGCGTCCCGATGTGACTAAATAATATATATATATATATATATATATATATATATATATATATATATATATATATATATATATATATATATATATATATATATTTACACACACACATATAATATTTCTAAAGAATCATGTAGCATGCAAAAATGTGTTTTAAATATATTTAAAAAAATATTTCAATAATAATTTCTAAAACAATAATGAGATAAGATTTTATAAATGTTATTTGTCCAATATATAAAATAAAAAAGTAATTTATAAAAAAATATATATTTACCTCCCACCACCCAAACAGTTTTCTCATGAATTCATATGAATTACTTAATAATTTGCCAAAATGAAAAAAGAAAGAAAAAGTTTTTTTTCTGTGAAATCAGTGTTGTTAACACTCTTAATTAGACCTTTATGCTGACATTACATTTTGTTGTGATTGATAGTCAAAGGAGTTCTCCTAATCAATTACTTGTAAGTATTCTTTTCATTTCTGTCTGAAAGCAGCTCTCTAGGCTTTGTAATGGGCACACGTTTCAAATCGTCTCATCCGACATCATTTTTACTCATGCAGTGCAAGTGTGCAATAGTCGTTACAATAAATCACATTTATGTAGAAAGTCACGGAGATGTTTAAACAAGTTTCTACAGTATTTAGTTTATGGAGATGCATTGCCTCTTTGGAAAGGAGTATAGACACAGACGTGAAACTTTACACTATGGAATGCCGTGGCAGCATCAAGGGATCCTAATGACGTTTTCAGTCTAACCGCTGCACATACATAATACTGTATTGTTTGGAGAGGAGTGCAGATCTATCCGTGTTACATGATATATGTGCGGCTACAAAAACAACTTTATTGCCTGCTTTGAAGTTTCTTTTTAAGGTATTTAGTACTTAGTTTAGTCTGACACCCTCCCCATTACACTGAAGTGTTGGTCTGGGTGCATGCGTCTTTTTGTTTGTGTGTTTCATATATTAGGGGGAATTTTCTACAGCTGACCTTTTGCCAGACCCGACTCGCTTGCATCCTTCAAGGCATATTTACAAAACCAAATGGAATATGACCTTAATAGTAATGCCTCCTTTTAAATGATTCCAGTACTGTTTTCAATCTGGGGTTAATGCTTTGGTTTTCCTTCTGATACCTGTGGTGGACTTTATTGATGCTGTATGAAGTTTGTGAGTTATTTCTTTTGGCGCTGAAACGCTATGTAAATAAAAGCAAATGGGTTTGATTTATCAGATCATTATTGAAAGCTTCAGGCAATCATGAGTTTCAAACAACATTTAAGCTGGTAGACAAAGTAGCAGTGGGCAACACTGTAGTCAGTGTCTTGTGGACATGTAAAATGGCCCAGTTTCTTCTGTCATCACGCTGATGGTGAGAGGTTTGGGTTTTGCTCACTTCCCACCAGCTCTTTTTGCCTCAAGGCTTATAAGCTACAGTAATGTTGCTAGAAAGTACAGTCATCTGGGGGACAGTAATTGCATTTTTTGAAGAATTAAACAGGGCAGAGGACACTTTGCACTTAAATTCTTCCCCTAACTTCCTTTTTTTCCCATCTCCAGAGATTGAATTATATTGACCCAAGAAATAATATAGCTCAAAATTCCCAAGTGGGTCACAATTACCGAAAATATGTTAAATGATTTTTTTTTTTTTTTGCATCGATGATAATATGCCAAATAAATGTCTTGTTAGACTGTACCATGTATAGGGGGGTTCATAGCTTGTGTTATACTGCATAAATTGACAACAGTGGGACTCATCTGTATGTCTCTCTCTCTTATTGCCCCTGCAGTGTGCATTTGCCCTTGCTTGACCGCAGTGTGCCTGACTTCTCTAGCTTTAGCTCTGTGGATGATTGGCTGGACGCTATTAAGATGGGCCAGTACAAAGACAACTTTGCCAATGGCAACTTCACCAGCTTCGACCTCGTTTCCCAGATGACCATGGAGTAAGTGCTATACCTATGAGAGAGGGCAGCTTGGAAAACAGCCACACTTTGATCACTGAGTCAACAGAACCTCTAGGGGAACTTTGACTCCATAAGTGCTGACTGGTTTTTCATACTTTTGCTCTATAATGCCCTTAGTTCATAGTTCTTACTCTATTTACTGTATTAGGCCTGCACAATAGAATATAGAATATAATATTTAATGTGAAATAGAAAATCTTAAATTTTTTTGTTTTGTTTTTTGGAAATAAATTAATTTTGGTATTCCAATGAAGCATTCAATTTATCTTAAGTGACAAACATACAAGATAATCAAATAATCAAATAAAAGGCTAATTAAATTCAAAAGAAAATATGAGAAATATCTAGCAGAATATCAGTATATAAGGATTTCTGAAGGTCGTTGTTAGTAGCCATGCAGTTAGCCCAGCAACATATAGCACTAAGATGCTAGCAGCTTCCCAATGTGATAATATGTATAGTTGAAGTTCGAATTATTAGCCCACCTGAGTTATTAGCCCCCCTGTATATTTTTCCCTTATCTCTGTTTTGTAATTCTCAATTTGGTTAATTTTGCAAACCGACAACTGACAACCGCCACTCTTTAACTGAATATTATCGGTTAACTGGTCAGATTATTATAAAATTATTATTTGATTTAAAAAAAAATATATATATAAATATATATATATATATATATATATATATATATATATATATATATATATGTGTGTGTGTGTGTGTGTGTGTGTGTGTGTGTGTGTGTGTGTGTGTGTATTTTTTGTCCGACACAATAAATGTTGCATTTTAAAGTACTCATTTATTTGAATATGTTGACAACAGCATACAGAACATCCGAACAACAGCACATTTTCAAGCACATGCAGCGTTTCCAACAGAAAAACAGAATAAACTAAGTAAAAAGAATAAAATAAATAGTCCTGCCCTGGATATTTTTCACTTAAATGACAAGTTTAGATTACAAAACAAAAATACTGACTGAATCCTTTTTAAGAATATGCTGTTTGTCCAATCATGTTTTTTTTTCTGTCAACAAAAACACCGCCTCTGCTTTTATTAGACTGAAAAATCAAAAAGACGCTTTTTCTGCTCAAAGTTGTCTTTTTTCAACTGTGAGCACACAGCATGCAGCAGCAAAAACGTGAGGCGTACCAGGTGCCAGAAAACGCTCACAGCCATTAGTTAACTATTTAAAAGATCCCCCTCTCAACACAAAAATCACATTCGCTGTGATCGGCCCCTGATGCAGCCAAATAAAACAAAACAAAATTTTATGAGTTCACATTGATAATCAATAAAGCGTAATTGGCATGCTGTCACGGGAGAGAGCCCTGAGCTCGTAATATCCTCAGGCCCAGGGCTCCCTCCCGTCAGAAGGGCGAGAGGGAAGTTCGAGCTCAGGTAGTTCTCGAGAACTCCCCTGCTTGTCGCAGTGTAAGAAGTTTAAACAAGGTTATCTTGGGTAATAATTTGGTTTAGTCGATTGGCTAAGGTGTATGTTTTTGGACGGTGGGAGGAAACAGGGGAACTTAAGGGAAACCCACGCGAACACGGGGAGAACATAGAAACTCTGCACAGAAACGTCAACGGGCCTGATAGGAGGATGGACCAGCGGTGTTCTTGCTGTGAGGCGACAGTGCTAGCCACTGGGCCACCGTGTCGCCCTATCGGAAAAAAAAGGGTGGGAAGTAGGGGTTGGAAGGGGGGAAACTATGAGACAAAGATAACTTGAATGAAAAACTCTGGTTATTTATAATGCTTATGTCATCATCTAATAGAGCAGATTACAGAGCTAATGAGGTGCCAGCCGTTTTGATCATAAGTCTTCTCATATTAGTTTATAAATAAACCACACATAATAATATTCTTAAACAATTAACTTATACGATTAATTGGTTAAAATGCACTCTTTCGGTTAGCGGTTAATCGGTTATTATTAGCATCCCTGTTTAACAGAAAGATTTTATTTTAACACATTTCTAAACATAATTGATTTAATAACTTATTTCTAATAACTGATTTATTTTAGCTTTGCCAAGATTGATTGATTCATTCATTAATTTTCTTTTCGGCAAAACAGTGTTTTGTTCTGTAGACAATCAAAGAATATTGCTTATTAGGTTTTAATAATATTGACCTTTAAATGGCTTTTCAAAAACAAAAACTGCTTTTATTGTTGCTAAAATTAAACAAATAAGACTTTCTCCAGAAGAAAAAATATAATTGGAAATAGTGTGGAACAATTCCTTGCTTTGTTAATCATCGTTATATATTTAAAAAAAAATAATAACTACACGAGGACTAATAATTGTGACTTCATCTGTATATAGATTGCATGTGTTTCATGGATCATGTAGTAACCAAAAGATCATTTTAAATACATTTAAATGGAAAAAAAGAAAATTGCAATACTTTTTTTTTTTTTTCTTGGTGAGAAGAAGGAATTTAAAAAAAATAAATTAATCTCTATTAACTTCAAACTTAAATAATGGTGTGCATGTACGTTATATCTAGATTATTAAATGTTGTTAAAATGTAGATCATTGGAACTTCATAATATCTTCTGCATTGAAGAGTCGCATTGTAAAGTAGTACCATTTATTTAGCGATATAATGATAAATGCACATGCACAAGGAAAATTCACAATTTCACTTTCAATATGATTGACTGTGTAGCTGTACTAAGACTCCAGTCTTTTTTTCAAAATGCATCATCAATTGCAGCTGAAATCATTTCTCAGCGATAAGACACCATCTGGATTTAACTCAGAAATAAATATAGGCATGTTTCCTTGTTTGTTGCTGCCTGTCAATCAGTGTACAAATGGGAACCACAGAAATGCACTCATAGATTTTTTCCCGTCTCCTCACCTCAGCTGTTACCTGGCCAAACCAGACATGCCACGGAAAAACAAAGGAGGCGTTGTTGTTTCAGAGACGCTTGGGTTGTGAAACAAACAGAGGATGATCGGGATTATGGAATTTACCGTTTACTCATCTTGAACTAACATGCAGAGTTTACTTTGGCATCATGCGATGAAACCAGTGAATAAAAATGTGTTACTACAGCATTATGGTATCAGCTTCAGAGCGCTCGAGTTTAATCTTGCTTCTTTCTCTGTAGGGACATTCTCCGGGTCGGAGTGACACTAGCAGGTCATCAGAAGAAGATCCTCAACAGCGTTCAGATGATGAGGGCTCAGATGAACCAGATCCAGTCGGTAGAGGTTTGACCACGTGCCCTCGATTAGACTGGGCGGAGGACAACAGGAGGAGGCGGAGAGCCAGCGTGAAGGGATGGGGCGGCCACCGCAGACCCCTAAGCCTGATTTTCCTTCTGGACCACCTAGGATACCCACCTGCCCCCTCCTCCCAAACACTCTCGTTCTCCATCTGTGTCATCTGACTCCCCCATTAACCCCCAGACACCCTAATGGGCTGGATTCGGGGAAAGCTGCGTCTGGAAAATATGGTCACAACACCTGATCGTTTAGTTTTAGCCACCACCAATCACAGGATGACCCTTCAGTCTGCCAGCAATAGGCCCCGCCCCTATTTCCTTCTCATTTTGTTCCTTTCCAGTTATTCTTTTTTTATCGTCTTCATTTTTTTAAAGAGTTTTTTTGTAAAGAATTTTTAAAGCTATGAAAACATAAGGAATCTATATGAAATGTATAGATTGCAGACTGAATACGGTGGACTGAATTAAAAGGCTACCCTTTAAAAGGGCAATGAAGAAACAGGAGATAAAAAAACAAACTTCACCCCATGATACATGCTTCTGAGATTTTCTTTTTGAATATTTTAGGAAAATCCTGACTAGAAATAATGACTGTCTGCTCAGTGGATACACACACACACACACACATGGGACAACCTGCGGGACCGTAATCCCTCTCCCCTTGCTGACAGTCAGGGGAAAAGTATGTGAACACCATGAAATGGCACTTCCTTCTGGCAGCTGATTCTGCCTTGAAGAAAACATGAGACTTCAGTCATTCAAACTACATCAACACAAACAAACAGAGGAAGGAAAAAAAATGCAGTTATCACAGTGTTGCAATTTGTGGTGCAGATTTCTCATTGCTCGGGGGGAGGAAAACAGAAATCTTTTACAGATGTCATAAAACAGCCTGCCAAAATTGAGCATCATCTCTTTGTACCTCGTCCTGTACATATCAGATGCACTTGACGTCGTGAGGTCATCAGTACAAGCCTGATGCAGTCCAACATTTAGCTTCATTTTGAGTATTAGATTGAGCTACATTGACATTTGATGGACTTTCTTTAGAGTGCGCAAACGTTTGTGACTCGAGGGGGTCATCTTTTATATTCTTCTTCCTTTTTTTGTCATGGGCTAAGATGATTTAGTTTGAAAGACGGCGTAAGATGTTCTCCCCCATAAAGAAAACTTTTTAGCTCGCTCTTTTGGTGAACCAGAGAAGGACCCCGAGTGCACGTATGGTGTGGTCCTCACATCTCCGCTCTTCTTTTATGCTCGAATCCCTGCCTTGCGAGTGTGTGCATGTGTGCGTATGGAGCCCATGTGCGGTGCAAAACTATGATTTCAGGGGATGCTTGGATTTGATACACGTCGCAGATCACTGTGTCGATATGCTTATATTTTTGCCACCAAAATCATTTCTTTTAAAAGATCAACGTTTTGTAATATGGTGTTTAGGAGTTTTAATATCTGATAAAGAGTTAGAGGACATTTTCATAACAGGAAAGTCATTGTGAAGCATAGTTTTATATAAGGATGCTGTTACGACATTTTTAAACAGGTTACATTCACCGATCGGGGGGTCAAGATTAAATCTGACATCTAAAAAACAAGCTGGAGTTTCGTTAACGAATCACAAAATGTAAATGAGTGTGTATAGGTTTTATTTTATACAGAGAAAGCATTCGTAATTGCGTAAGATACTTCACCTGCATTGACGTAAAACTGTATATAATATTCTGAATCAGAAACTCCCCCCGCCTGAGAGGTTTTTCTCAAAGCTGTGTTGGATTTTAGTGTACAGATTAGTTTTTTTTTTAATGTGTTGTTGATGGAGAGTTGCTATTGTCTGTTTATTTTGGGCTTTTCGTTTTGTACTAGGACGGGCTGAGAGATGAAGCAGCTGTAGAGATGAACAGGCCGGAGGCATCTTCATCCATGCTGGAGTGTATGTGTGCGTGTGTTTCTGAGTGTGTTTGCACATGCAGGTACATCCGTGTACCAGCATTACAGTCACTGTGGATAACAATATACTTGTCGCTCGGTCGACGAGGGGCTCTCGCTTTATTTCCATAACCTCAGTGTTGACATGCATCTGTTAAAAACACAGTACTGTGAGGTCGGTTCAGTATAGCTAAATTCTGAATCTCAAAGTGCTGATAAAGTTCTGATCAGATGGTGTTGACCGTTTCTCTGTTCTTCCCATTACATGATGCTTCCATTAGAAAAAAAAGACTATTATCAGGCAGTGTTTGGGCATCCAGCAGACAGGCCATCCCGGGTAGAGATCAATTCAAAAGGCTTGAGAGACACCAATGTTTACCTTCCTGTGTGTCCAGAAAGAAGGTAGGATTTCATTTTTCCATTGAGCTTGAGGTACTACAGTAAGTGGCCCTTAAGTTTTAGCTCTCAGCTTTTCAGACCTTTTCATCACCAGCAGGAGGATTTAGGGAGAGAGGAAATCAATCTGGGCTTAACACTTCATCCTAACCAGCAAGCAGTTATTTGTCCGTCCACATTAGAAGCGAAAATCCAGCATGGCAGTCACAGTTGTTGTTTAATATGCAGTTACTGTAGCCCATGTTACTGTTTAAAAGTTTGGGGTTGGAAAGAATTTAGTTGAACTTTTATTTGGTTGCATTAAATTTGATTAGAAATGCAGTAAAAAAACGGCAATATTGTAAACTATTTTTGCAGTTTAAAATAATTGTATTCTAATTTAATATATTTTGAAATGTAATTTATTCCTGTGGTGGCAAAGCTGGATTTTCAGCATCCTTTTACTTCACATGATCTTTTAGAAACATTTTAATATGCTTTTTAGTGCGCAAGCAAAAAAAAAAAACTGTTATTAACAAACGGAAAACTTTTTTTTTTAATTATTTTTTTTTATATTTATGATATTTTTTCATTCTTTTTTACAGCATTTATTTTACACTTAAATGTATTTTTAGCAATCTGAAAGTTACTAGTTTTAAAAAGTTTTTTTCAAACAAATAAAAATTAATTTTTTTATTTAATTTATGTACAAATGAGATTATTTCATTTAGTGACAAAAAAAACTAACTTTTTCATTACTTAAAAAAATACTGAATGTTTTAAAGTCTGTGATTTTATGGTTCCATGCTTAACAAATCCAATACAGATTATCATTCCACAACACTAAAAATGTCTCTTCAGTGTTACATTTTCAGTATCAAGTTGTTGAAGCATGGTCCCATTTAGGGCTTAAAAAGTAAGCCAAATTGTCATTCAGAATCTCACTTTACCAGGTCCAATTTTTTTTTTCAATTGACCCCGCTCTGTTAAGGCTTATGTGTACTTTTGCAGCCACATCTGATCTCTGGTTAAGCATATTTACAGTACAAAACTTGTCTGTGAATTATGAGGGGAAACAAACAAAATAAATAAATAATAATCATTCATTAATCATAATCAAGTCAAAATATTTAGATTTTAGGCCAAATCACCCAGCCCTAGTCCCATTTTAAAAGCCTCTCATAAGTAAATAAACTATTTTTTAACATTCATAACAATCTATACACGCTGTCTAATAACATTTAATTAGCATATTATCTGTTTGCAGGTAATGCAATACGTGGCAACTTGGTCACATTGAGCTGCTGGTTAGGACAGGTGATTCAGGGAGGTGAGAGACAGATTTAGAGTGAAGGATGTTCTCACATCAAAACGCATACCAGTGGTGGTGCCAGCAGCCATCTTTACCTGTCTGTCCAGCACACATCCTCTCAATATTTAATGGCGTCTCAGTGTCACTGCTGCACTGTGAGACTAAGGTCTTGAATCCCTCGTCTTCCTCAGAATAACACCGCTTTCTCCTTCACCCTCCTAGGACAATCGTTGTCACCGAAAACTGCGGGATCCACACACACACACACATATACACACACACACACAAATAAATTCATGGCAGTAGCAATATTTAGAGGTACTACCCACAAGTTATGGCATGCTTTAAATCTGCCTAAAAGTTCAGGATTAACAGAGCTTTGAATGAAATCCAGTGCTGAAGGGATATCCTGTATCCCTGATCCCCGACTTCTTTTCCTTCCAGTGAAATGTGTCATTTCAGAAAAATAAAAAGAGGTTTTTCTCTCGCTGTTTGGCACCGACTTTCTGGTACTTTGCATCGAGAGATCCAAAGGAACATTAGCAGCCAATGAGCCTTTCTGTTTTAAGATATTGATACGTTGAAAGATTCTGACACGCTTGACATTTGCTACACATTAAAGCTGTATTTATATTGGACTATTTCATCTGATTCATCTAATGTAATTCACTTTTTTTTCCCACCGTTCAAGTTTGTTTCTCAGTAGGGGACTAATTACCTCATACGCCTCTGTCTCTCATTTGTCGTTTAACAGAACACTTCGTAGACCACAGACAAATGAGACGTGGCCTTGAGAGTGTGAAAGAATGTCACGCTGAGTGATTTAAGCACTTCTGTTATTTTTTTCACATGGATTACCACCTTAAATGCAAGCTTTCTACCACAACACAGTGCTGGGAAAGATGGCACATAGGAATTTCTATTTCTTGTGAAAATGACCAATAAGCTGCCGTTATGTGGACATGCGAACTGCAAATGTTCTTTCTGGCGAGCAAAAACGTGACCGTGCACCATTTAAAGCATTTTGTTGAAAGCTGGGTGACAGCAAGCTGTGAACAGCATATGCTCGCAGCTACCGCCGAAGCATAATACCAATGCAAAACCGTTATTATGATGATTATGTGTGACTGTGAACGTAAATACAAGCTGGCTCTGGCTCCCTCTCATTGGTCCATATTTCTGCCTGCATCCTCCAAATATGGTGGGAAGTTGTTGGGAGAGAAAATGGCTCCCCGAGCAGAGCTGTAGTGGCTGTAGGGCCGCAGCTCCCTCTGCTGTTAGGAAGGCAGTAGTGTGTTCTTCCGCATGTCTCTCAGCCCTGCTTTTCATTACAGGGCAGCAGACCTCTCTCTCTCTCTCTCTCTCTCTTGCCCAAATAGAGCACTGCCCACCTGGACCACTGTGACGGAGATGGGAGGTCCTGTTTCGCTGTATAAAATGTACATTTGACTGTAACCCTGTGAATGATGTAACAATTTCATTATTTGTAATATTGTTATTGGTTTATTTTCTAAAAATGAGAAAAAAAAAGCCCAACTTGACTCTCCTCATTAAAAAATGAAATGAGATCTGTTATACAATGTCCTGTTTTGTGTGTGTGTGTGTGTGTGTGTGTGTGTGTGTGTGTGTGTGTGTGTGTGCGCGCGCACAATTAGGATCACATTTTAGCTTTCCGTCTATTGATTTTAAAACATTTATATGAAATTAGTAAGCTAAAAACTGCAAGTAAGCTAAAATAAAATTAACTGAGCTAGTTTTTTATAGCAAGCTTTCTTCTGTTGGTTTGATAATTTAATTTTGTTTGTTGACAAAATGGATAATTGACAGCGTTCGATGCATTATTTTAATTGCCACTTGCACATTTCTCCCGTCCCATTAACCCCAAAAAACAACTACCCCAACACCCAAAAACAACTGAATAAAAAATAACAATGTACAATGAATCTAATGTAAATAATTTTAAAAAATTGTAATAGTTTATTTATTTATTTGTTGTTTGTTTAACAGGGACAACACGTTTGATACGTTGACACGTTTGATATTGTTATACAAAGACAACAAGCTTATAGCATAATAATAATTTGCATCCCTTTTCCCTGGTAAGGCTTTGCATAAAAAACTAAAACTAAATTAAAAACACATCTACAAATAAAAACAATACAACAGGCACATACAGTAAATACATAGCCACAAATAGAAAATGTAAGTCAATCTGCATACTAAAGAGAAATGTAACCTGACCAAGCTGATTGAATAATATGAAATGTTCACATTGCTGTAAAGATTTCAACCATTCTTTCAGCTTTACAGAAAAAAAACAGAGTTTTGTTTGTAACTTTAAAACAACAGGCATGGCGATCCATAGATGTGAACCTTTCACTGAAACGGATGACTGACCCACAGTGGTTCTGCATCTGTGGATTCTACAGTTCCCATTTATTGCCCCTCTAGTCTTTGCCCCATCACTGCTGAATTTATGTATGAACTCACAGACTATCCTAAGGACAAGACTACGTATACACTTAAACACGTTTTTTAAAACTTTAAAAAATATTTAAAAAGCATCAGAACTTTACAAGTTATATATATTTTTAATGAATTTTACAATGATTTTGCCACTTTATTGGTTTCTGATCCATTACTTTTGAAGTTTGTTTGTAATGTCACAAGTGAAGCTTTGAATTACAAAATGTCAGCCAACAGCATTTGTAAATATTGATTTACACTAACAAAACAATTAAGAAATAATTAATAATAAATATGAATACTCATTAAAATAATATACGACTAAATGTAATATTTGTAATATTGTAATATAACATTCAAATTAAAATGCCAATAAATAATTAATGTTTAATACAATCTATTCCGAGGTACCAGCGATATTTAGTGACCAAAATATCCATTCATCTGCATTTGTGCCATTATTTTTTTTTACATTTCTACAAAAAAATAAAATAAATAAACAAAATATTTTTAAAAAAGTGTCTGAAGCACTTAGTGTAAATTATAGTGAAAAACTAAATATTTAAAGTTTCAGCAGAACCAAAACGTAAATTACATTACCACTGATCATTTTCTTTTCTGTCTAAATGTGCATTAAATTGTAAAACTTTGTAACTTACAATTTGTTTTCATTTTATCCAAGAATATTTAAAATCATATTACAGAAATAAACATAAATTAATACAAAAATTTATATAAGCACTAAAATTCCTAACTGATTTAAATTCTTCCATAAATTGTCCAAAATTTGCTTCCAGTGTACAGTGCTCAGCATATAGTACACCTCTCTCAAATCTCTCTTTCAAATTCATATTTTTTATAGTAAGCTTTACAATATTATATTTGTGCATATACATGAGATTAGTCAGTACTGAAGACAAATCTGGAGCTTAACAAAATAACTTATGATAACAGTTCAAAAATTAATTCACCCAAATGTATATGTTATAGAAAAATATTAAATACAAATTTAAAAAAGGGGAAAAATCAAGAGAGGCAAAACAAAACAATTAAGTAGAGATTTTGTAGGTTGTATTATTATTATTATTATTATTTAATATTTAGCTTGAATGTAATTGTAATATCTCTCAATTTCTAAATATGTTTGGTGACTAAAACAATTTAATAAATATATCTGTTTAATAAATCTGTTTTGTTTAAATGCACCAAAATACATTGCCCATATTCACTGAGAAGAAAACATAGGAAAATATTCATTTTCAAAATGGGGTGTACTCAATTATGCTGAGCACTGTAAGTGTCTTACCAGCACCTCAAATATAGCCACAACATGTTTTTGCTTAGCTTAGCTTGACTCTGCAATGTCCCTTTAAATATTTTAAAGCTCTAGTTGTTTTGCATTGCCACTCATTACAGTTTCGACAACTTGCTGAACTAAGGTAAAAATCTGTAAATATATCTTTAAAAGTTCACATTGAAGCCATTTACACGCCCCAAATCACTCCTGAGAGTTAGAGCAGTCTTTGTGCTGATGTTCCTGTGGGGTGTTTGGGTTTGTCTGCTCTCCCCCTCCTGCTGTTCTCTCCGACCGGATCCCAGTGTCTCCTCACAGCTCGTCCCAATTCGAAGGCCTCGTTAACGGGCCAATGTGTGAAAGCCCCACGACCTCACACTGACCTCGTCGAGACTGGCATTCGGAGGAAAAAAAAGCATCTCCTGCGACGAGAAGTGGGAGTTCAGGAGTTCAGTGAGGAACCCGCTGACACTTCAACAGTTCTTCAAGTCTAATCCCGACCGCCTTTGCTTCCCTCTCCTTTACGCCCTGTTAACCACTGCCACCACGGGCTCAGCAGGAACAGCACCAACGCCAGACCCTCAACAGAACAGGGACCAAAACCCCGCTGATCATCTTTCACTGGAAATGCACATGAAAGTGATCAGACTCGACGTGATCGCCCAGAAACATCTAGATTAATGGAAACGCCCTTTGCTTTTTCATTCATGCTCATGACGGCGATGGTGCTTGCTAAACCAGAATAGTTTGCACTTACACATCATTTCTATCAAATCTCATTTTTTTAAAAAGATCACATTGTGGTCGTACTAAAGGGTTAGTTCAGGCCAAAAAAACTGCCATCATTTATGCATCCAAATCTAAATTTTCATTCATCTTCGTTACTGAAGCAAGGATATTTTTTATTAAATCGGAGAGGCTTCTATCTCTCCATTGGATGTGTGCTCACCCAAACTATCTGGCACAATCATAAAGAGATCACTAAATAAATCCATGTGACTTTAGAGGATTCATCCAAGTCCTCTGAAGAGACAAGATTGTGCTTTAAAAGCAGCGAAACCAAATCAAGCAGCGTCGAGTTGAAGCGTGTTGAAATGTTTGGAGCGGAGAGCCTGATCATAACATTTTGCTGGGAGTGGGTGTAGGGAGGCACGGGGCACAAAGTAACTCGGGGTTAAATGTAACACATAGTTTTAAGGTGTTTGCTCAGGGTTATTCATGGCATGCTTCCAAGGTTTTCACCACAGTGACAGCAGACAACTTCCTGCCAACTATTGAAAAAGTTCAGCGAAATTTGGATGAGAGAAATAGGAGAAACCATTGTTGCAGCATAAAAGTATTTTACTCTATTTTTTCATTTAAAAAAAAATTCTGTGAAAGTATGGCAGTGAAATCTTATATTGTTGTGATCACAGTCTTCTAAGCTAAAAGATGGAACCATTTTGAAAGATGTAAAAAACAAACAGTCACTGCTAGCCAGTTTAGCGGAAAACACGACACAGCGGGGTTAGTTGTAATAGGGTGTTACAAATAAGCCACACACTGTTGGACACCAATTAAATTAACCAATTTTTTATTTTGAGAGTAATGTTGAGAACTTTTTAATTAAAAAATGTTTTGAATAGAAAATATTTTTTTAAGAATTTGTGTTACAACTTACCTTCTGACTGTTACAACTTGCCCCACAGGTGGGGAAAATAGTAACGTTTTCAGTACTAAAGACCCTTTAGGTAATACTGCACAGAAACCATAGATCCGGCAATCATAATTTCAGTGCTCATTAGTAGGAGAGGCTTGTGTGTTGTTGGTAAAAAAATAAAAAATAAAAAAAAATAGGACTACGGTGGCCGAGAGAGCTTAACGCGCTGCAATTTAGGAAAGCACATGCAATTACAAAAAGCATCAGCAAATAAAGAAATGATCTTTATCAATTTGACAGCAAATTGGTCACAACACAAACAACTGAAGAAACGCAAAGCAAATTGGTCACAACACTTGCAAATATCCACGTAACACAACAGCAATGACTGCTTCTCCACAAACAAGGAGAGGGAGAAAGTCACAAGACATTGTCTCAGAAAAATAATTCCAGAAATTTGATTTTGCATGATATTTCAAATTCAAAACACATACACATAGCTTTTGACCTGTTACTTTTCTGTGTTGTTCTAGGACTGATTTCACATGTTTGTTTCTGAAATTATAAAATGTTTAGTGCGGTGCAATTTTTATTTTATTTTTTACATTACTTAAGCATCGATACCTTTTTACATTTTGAGCATTATAAACTCTAGATGGTGGATAATAAAGCCCAGAGTGTCTTCTTTCCAAATATACATAAACCGTGAATGTAGACCAAATTATTCAGCAACTGTAAATGTTTTAGTTTAATAAAGTCATTTTTTAGAAAATGCCTCTGACTGTGAGGGAAAGAAGGACACCGATATAGTCCCAGAAAACTTTTTACAGTAATATCATTTTGCATGCTATCGTCATCAAATTTGAAATACAAACTCATAAAACACTTTATATTTTTTAGGACATTACATTAATGTTTTCCTGTGTTTCTATATGGAAAAACAAATATTGAACACGATACAATTTTTTTTTCTCATGACCTCATAATGTATTACTTTTTATATATTTTTTTACATGTAACTTCCCCCTTTACCACAGTAAAGCTCAAAGTGTCTTCTTTCCAATGATAGCTAATTTGTGTTTGTAGCTTACTGGAGTCAGGAACTGTTACTATTTAAATTTAGGTAGGTGTAAATCCCCAAAATTGAGTGCTGGCTATTTACTTTTCTTTTTATTC